CCCCCAAAACCCCAAAACCCCAAAACCCCTGAGTGAGGGTTTTAAGTTGAAACTGAGAAGATTAGTTATAAATTTAAGTTAAGGATAGAGGAAGATGAAAGCAATTAGAGTGACGAAGGTGATGGGTGATAGACAGAATTTGGAGAAGACAGCTGGTGGTAAGGAGGTGCCTTGTTTTTGGAGAGGTAGATTTTGAGGATTTTGAGTTGAGTTTGGGGTAGGTGCAATGGGTGAGAAATTAATTTTGGTGACTACAATTTTTGGCTTGGTTTTGCACTTTGGCAACTGAAAGTTTGCATAAGGGTAGACCTTAATACAAAATTTCTGAGATAGATTTGGCTAAGCAAGAAATATAGTATCAGAGATTTTATGAATGAGATTATAAATTATGAAACCACAATTTTGTTAAAAATACTTTTTATAGAAATAAAGCCAGTCAAGCAATACAAGAAGAGAATTGCACTGTTCCCCATCATAACTGAAATCCCAGATGACTGAAATCAGATTTCCAAGGCTAGGAATTTAAAGGGAAAGGTAAGTTTTAACTATTTCTTGGCAATAATCATTTTTAAATTTCATATTTATCTATTTTATTAGGGTATCAATCATAAAGACCTTCAAAGATTGATCAGAGAATCTTGTAAACGACTTACTAGTAAGATTCTTTCTTGACTCTATAGCCCATGAAGTGGAGAGTATTCTTATGGGAACTGAAGGAATAGACAAAATCGGTGTTGAAAAATTCATAAAAATGAGTTACTCAAGAGGTTCTTCTACATTAGACAAAAAGTCTAGCAAAAAGCTCAGCCAGATGGAAAAGGCTCAAGTTAATTGGAAGATGATGTATGAATTTTCTTGCTGATTTTTCAACAATTTCTATAAAAATACTCAAATTCCACGTCTTGAAAAGCAAAGCTGACTAGTTAATATAATCATAGCTTCTAGCGATCTCTTTCTAGATATTTTCTGAATCATTATCGAGAGCAAGCAACATGAGTTTATTATTTTCTAGTTTTTCCGAAAATAGCCAAGGACAGCTCCAGCTTAGATTTATCTTAGATGCTATTGTTCTTGAGAATAATGAGTCTATTAAGTAATCAATATCTGTAGCAGATATCTAGCATTCTTTACGGACTCTTTTAGAGCTAAACCAGAGCTAATATCTTCTTTTGGACTGTTTAAGTTCCTTTTCCTCCTCAGAGATGTGAAGAATATCCAAATATATTGGAATTTTGTATAAATTTCTTGGTTTACCGTATACTTCGATTTGAGTTTGCTATTTTCATCAGTAATTTCTTTTTAGATTAATTCAAGAGGAGGTACTCATCCGGACTAATAATGCAAAGATCGAGACCTCATCCTTTGACTTATTAGAACTCTTTTCTATTTAGGAAATGGGGAAGGAAAGCTTTACTGATGCCTAATCTAAAATTTTGGCAAAATTCCTAAATCACCAGCCAATTAATTCTATATTTTTCTAGCACTCACTATGTCAGAGAAAAGAATGGTTGCTCATTGATGAACAAGTTTATATCAGAAGAGATGATCAAGAGACAAATCAAGGACTTGATCAAAGATATTAAAGTCAAGCGGTACCTTAGCTAAATGACTTTATAGAGTGATCCTCAAAAGCTTCAACACTTTTAAGGCCTACATTGAGCAAAAAGTAAGACTTTTAGGTGAATTTGATTGGATATTTTCATATATTATCCAAATTTTTTGAGGCTATATAAACTCCAAGCTAGTATACCTTTAGAAGTTATGCCATTTATTTCATGAAGAAATCGTATCTAGGGATTGCCCTCAGCTCTTCTCAAAAATAGTAGATGGTTGAAATTAGGTTAATAGAATTGATGAAATACATTTTTAAGGGAAAGTATTCGAGAGTTTGCTTAAAAACATTTTACTATAGTTGGTAATCCCATTACTGAGGAGTAATCATAAGCCAAAATCTATTGAAGCAGTCAAATTGAAATGTCTGATTAAGGTACTATTGAAGATGACAATTTCAGGTGCTGTCAACTCAAGATTTTTATAATAAAGAAAAAGAGGAATTCATGAAGCTCTTGACAGGTATATCCTCAACTTTAAACTCTAGAACGGATGACTTCTTCTGAGTTTGAAATCAGTATGGAAGTTCTTTAACCATTAGGCAATATTTTCAAGGAAGGAAAAGAGCTGATGTCTGCCTGAAATTTTCCTAGAAATTCTAAGTTCTCAAGAGCTAGTTCTTTTATGCAGAGAACTCAAAGTAAGACATAGTCTTATACTTTAGGAGATTCTTCGTTTGCATCAAGCAGAGGTTCATGTATACATAGTATTTCATCATTCATAGATATTAAGGGAATGCTTTCTCAAAGAGCAAGCACAAGAAACAGTATGGAAAGCTGAGTTTATCAATTTAGATAGCATTTGAAGACCATCATTAATGCCTATGAATACTTTTGATGTAAGTTTGAAAACTATTGCAATAGGGAAGAACAAAAGTCAGTTTTAAGCTAGACGAAATCAGCGAAGATTGAGACACCTTTGTTTCAAATACTGCTCATCAAAGCTTCATATTCTCCAACAAGCACAGGATGATTAATCCTCTTGGTTTAAACGAAGCTCAAAATGTAGGACATATAATACTAAATAAATAGGGTCAACACCTAATTGGAGTAAACTCAAGTAAAACAGTAAAGACCATATTCTTAATTACAGACGCTAAATATGCAAATTTGTAAATCTCAATCACCAAGCGTCTTGTCAACTAATGTTACTACTTCAAGGCATCCTTCACAAGGTAATATCTATCATTACTCTTATAGTTGTTGATCATCCAAATATGAGCTTCCTTAGTCGAAAGAGTGAACAAGTGAAGCTAGACTTCATTGCTCCCTACCGCCAAAGTTCATGTGTCTCTAAGTTGGACACCATCAAAGGATCTAACGAAGAAGATATCTTAGATCAAGAAATTTTCAAAGAAGAATTGAACAAACCAAGTATAGTTTTGTTCTCATATCTTTAGAACTAAACTTAGACAAGCTTCAGAAGCAAAAGTTTTCAGTTATTAAGCAGTAGGGACTTTTATATATTTCTAGACATGACGGAAGCCCATTAGGCATACAGAAGATGCGTGCCAGAATAAAAAAGAACATGATCAGGAAGTTCAGGTCTCGCTCACCAGTCCCGTTTAATATTTAACTCCAAGTCTGATGTTTGGATAAGTAAATGTAATGGCTTTCAATATTCTTGGTGAATATTGGGGTTTTGGGGTTTTGGGGTTTTGGGGTTTTGGGG